TGTTTTTCAGTGTCATCATTTTGTTTTCCTATTGGCTGGAACTAATCACCTATGTCTGTTGTTAGAAGGAGCTATAAATCCTGGATACAGAATAGTCATAAAGATTGACTAGATGCAAGCAGGGATGTAATGAAGGATGTGTTCTTGTTCCCACTGATTTTTCCCCATGTCTTGTCTTTCTGAGACATCTTGCTGAGACTTCCTGCTGTGTCACCAAGATTTCCTGGCTTCCTGCAAAGACAAGGTCCATTCTCCTTTTCTTCTCTCCTTCCCCCCCTCTCTCTTTTGCCCATTGTTCTGCATGTGGTGGCGCTGCGGGCTAAACTGCAGAAGCCTGTGCTGCAGGGTCAAAAGACCAGCAGTCGTAAGACCAAATCCATACAACAGAGAGAGCTCCCGTCGCTTTGTCCCAGCTCCTCACCAACCTAGCAGTTCGAACGCATGTAAATGCAAGTAGATAAATAGGTACCACCTCGGTGGGAAGATAAAATGGCATTCCCTAGTCGCACTGGCCATGTGACAACGGAAACTGTCTTTGGACAAGCACTGGCTCTGCGGCTTGAAAAACGGGATGAGCACCGCCCCCTAGAGTCGGACACGACTGGACTAAAAATGTCAAGGGGAACCTTTATCTTTACCTGCACTGGTAACTGCCAGATTCTGCGCAGCATGGGAAAGATGGGAGAAGGAATGCTATAAGTTACTCTTATTATTCACATTTTTGAGAATGTAATTATGTCTACATGCCTGTCACAAGGATGCCATTTCCCCATTTTCCTGCTGCAATTCATTTCCCTGATCTCTTTCAGTAGAACAAAAATGTTTCAGGTGACATTTTAAAGCAACATGATTAGTTGGGTTGGTTTCAGATGTGTGATGACAGTTAAATCTTAAAGAAGGGAGGCTTCACCCTATTGCACCATGCAGATTTCTGCATATCCCATTATGAAACCTTTCCTTGACCTGAAATACGTTTTTATCACTTATTGATTGCTACATTTATACCCTCCATTTTTTCTGAAAAGCTCACAGTGCCATGCATTCCCACTTCATCCTAACAAGTCTGTGAGCTAGGTCAGGTTGAGATAGTCTAGCCAATCCAAGATCACCCAGTTGAGTTTCATGGTGGAACAGGGTTTTGAACCTTGGGCGCCCAATGCCTAATTCAACACTATATCATAATGGCTGTCTATGAGATGTGCCTCTTATTCTGGCAAAACTTGACTTCTACTTCAGTTTGCAGCAATGATGAAGTCACATCCTGCGATTAAGCAGACTTCTATCGGACAGAACATGTAGGAACAGTACCACAAAACCTCCTTCCCTAATATGGAAGAAAGACTCATGTCAGTCCACAAAGCTTCCTTTAACTGTTAACTAACCCACAGTCCTTGTTTATAGCACATTGTATCCTGGTAAATAACAAAAATGACAATCTCAAATCAGAAAAGCTTTCATCCATTTAGACGGCTGTACTGAACAGCCTTAAAAATAGCAGCAGTATGCTGAAGAGTTATAATTCTGCAATTTGAATTTAAACCCTCTCTATTCATTTGAACCATCACAAGCCTGAAAGAAAACAGTTAGCAGATTTTCGGTTAAAAACTGAGGGGGAAAAAAGAACAGAAAGTAAAGCAAGCAGTGTCGTTTGGAATAATCATGAACTCCTGTATTTCTATCGATAGTTGCTATCAGGTTTTAACTGATCTCTACACTTTGTTTTCAACAACATCTTTGTACATGATTAGAGTCACCTCTTTAATCCCCAAATCCTGCTGTTGAATTATATGCTGAAACCAAATTAAGTGACTCTTTTTCAAATCTGATTTGATTTTTTAGGGTGACTTTTTAAGGCAAAAGCAAGACAAATTGTGGTTTTTTTTCCCCTCATCAAAATCTCTCTAGTTGCTACATAAAATTGCTTCCCCTTTGAGAAGCAAAATGCACACGTTCAACAAGCACAAAAGACTGGCTGAGCCTTAAGAAAGACTCAAACATCCTTTCTGATATTTCTCATCCTTAACAGTCCATGCAGTGAAAAACGGCTCCTGTCATTTTGCGCCATTCACATTCTTTGAAACATAATTGGTGTGAATTTGTGTTATTCTACTTAATATTGTTTAAAAGGCATTCTTGTTTTCTTTCTCTTCCTCTGTTGACATCGCCACAAAAAAAGCCCTCCCTCTAGTGGGATGAGAATAATAATTTTGCTGTTCCTAATCCTGTGTGGAACGATGAGATTGTTGATTATTTACATTCCTATTCCAATTTCATATTATCTTCGCCACAAGCACTGAACATTTCAAAATGTAAGCTTGCCTCCTTTTTTTATCATGGAGTTGTCTGTTTTTTTAACTGCTAATAGTAGGGATGTGAAACTCACTGCCATGGAGATTTAGGTAGAGACTGACCATCTTGATATAGTGAAACAGCACCTCAACCCTGCTCCAGCTCCTCAAGAGACATTAGGTCCGTCTCAAGCCTAAAATAACCTAGGGATTGTTTTTAGTTGTGTTTGTGATTTGTACAGAATTTCCAGGAAACATAAGCTAAGCTAAGCACACAGAAACAGCAAGACACAAAAGAAGGTCTTCAGTGCTACTGTTATTAGTCCGTGTAACAATCAAGAGTTCTTTTATACAAATGCAATAGATAACTAATAACATTATGAATACAGTGGTGCCTCACTAGACAATGTTAATCTGTTCCATTGAAATCACTGTCTTGTGAAAACATCATCTAGCGAAAAGCATTTCCCCATTGGAATGCATTGAAATCGGTTTAATGCATTCCAATGGGGGAAATAGTCATCGTCCAGTGAAAATTGCCCATAGGGAAGCCATTTTGCGAAGCACCGATCAGCTGTTTGAATCGCTGTCTTGCGAAGCATCAGTCCCGAAAACACCCATTTTGCGAAAACTGCCCATAGGGAAGCCATTTTGCGAAGCCGCCAATCAGCGGTAAAAATCATCGTCTTGCGAAAAAATGGTCTGCGAAGCACGGACCAAATCATCAGCCAGTGAAATCCCCCATAGGAAAAACCATTTTGTGAATCACTATAGCAATCACAAAAAGTCAACGTCTAGCGAAAAAAACGTTTTGCGGGGTAATCTTCCTGCGAGGTACCACTGTACAGGCAAATATTCTGTGAGGCAAAAAAACAGCCAGCCAACCCCTACTGTCTCAATTTCCCTCAATAATTTTTTTAAAGGTTTCAAGCTTAGCACGCAATAACAGATACTGTATGGCCAGGATTAGTCTTCCTAACTGCTAGGCAGTATTACTGTAAGAAAGCAACAGGTAAAGTATCTTGTTGATTTTGTAGACCAATAGTGGCTACACACCCACCTATCTTCAGTTGTTTTAACTTTTTTAAGAGTTTCCAAAATGTTGTGCATACTGGTTGTGTTATCAGTTTTTGATAATTTATCGTTTTTTATGTTTTCCCTAAATTTTCCCCCAGAAAGTGTCAAAACACAACCACCTTCTCCTCCCCCCGGGGAGATGTGATGTGTGCATGAAAGGAAAGGAAATGACATGAAACAAAATAAAATCTGAGGGACCTGTTGTAAGCATTGTAGCCTAGTTTGTGTAGGTTCTGTCGATAGTTGCTATCAGGTTTGAACTGATCTCTACACTTTGTTTTCAACAACATCTTTGTACATGATTAAAGTTACCTCTTTAATCCCCAAATCCTGCTGTTGAATTATATGCTGAAACCAAATTAAGTGACTTTTTTTCAAATCTGAGTAGACGGAGAATGCTATACAGATAGATCTGCTTTGAAAAGGGGTTTGAATTAAATGGGCTTTTGGTGCTTTCCAGCTGCGGAGGGTTAGTATTTCTCTATTTTGCAGAGGAAATAGATACTGTTCTCCACTCCCTGATGTCCCAAGCCTTGGATTTAGGATTGTTTTGTTTCATGAGACCTGCTGCTTCTTTATTTGGCAGGGTGCCACCATAGTAAAACTGTGGGTATCTTCTTTTATGACTGGAACTGGAGAAAGATTTAACTTTTTTGACATGTTTGTGTGGTATTAAAAGAATCTATAAATATGTGATGCATTATTTCATTAACATTCTTGGGAAATGTCTTAAAAAGTGATTACTTCCTGACTTGCATTTAGTAAGGTATTAAAATAAGTTCAGGATTTATATTACAAGGTTCTTCCAGGATTCATCTCCACATTCTTTAACTGTCGGGAGGAAAATGTCTTTTGAATTCCTTTGTAAACAATCTATATATTCCCTTCCTATTTCTGAGTCCTGAATTCAGTAGTCAAGGTACAATAGACTGTGTACCGAGTGGCCAAATCTTGTTGCTTAGTGTAATAATTTTCACCAGAGTAGGCCTGTTGAGCTACCCAGTGTGGTGTAGTGCATAGAGTGAAAGACTATGGTTCAAATCCTACTTGGAAGTCGAAACTCAAGGGGAGTGGGACTGGTAAAGGGGAAATATTTCACCTTGAAAGCCCTATTAGGTTTTTATAAGTCAGTTCCAACTTGACACCACATAACTAACCAATACTATTGAATCTGTGGAGATTTTGTGACTGAACTCCTCCATATGTTCCACTGATTCAAATGGGTCTACTTACTACTGCAACTTACTATGCTAAAGTAAATCACAACTGGGATAGGCTGATTTGAATCAATGGAACATAATTGGAGATGGGAGCATGTTGTAAGTTGTCAGAGTCACATGTTCACTTTTTCAGCCTCCTCCATCTGGCTGACCTCCCAGCTTGTGTTGCTCCTTCCCTTCCCACCTCACAATCTTCCATTGTGGCAGGAGCATGGGCTTCCCTTCTCCGCCTCCTCTAGCAGCTATCCACACATGGGCTGCACTGCAGGAATCTCTGCCCTGCCTCCTCATCTGAGCCGGGGGGGGGAGCCCATCGGGGGATGGGGAAAGTGAATGTGCGGCACCTTTAGTATCATGCCAACGACCTGGCAAGAAGTTCTTTGTGCCCACCTCTAAATTTAATGGATGCGTTAACTCACCAGATCCCCCTTTGATTTAATGGGCTTACACTAGTTCAATTGACTGTGCTAAGCAACAGGATTTAGGGCAGTAAGTGGTTGTTTTCCTCCTTCAGTCTCTATTCAATGTGTGATCAACGATGCTTGTCACTAGGATGTGTTGGAAAATAGTGTTTGATTGAAAACAAAGCATGAAGAATATGGCAGCTGTGATGGAGTAATTGCTAGATGACAGCATTTCAGATACACGATTTTTAAAAATGTTTCTTCTTCCTGAAATAATATGAAAGAACATCCTCATTAGTTATGCAGCAGGCGTTTGATGATTCTCTAAATGTTTAGATTTTACCTTGTTTTTATTCTCCCAATTTGAAACTATGGATATTATACAAAAGGGAGGTGGAAGAAGAAAAAGAGTTCCACCCTTTCATAATGTTAGGTTTTTAAGATTAGTCAAAGAATCTGATTTTCTGTAGAGGCAAGACTGGTACAATTACTTTCCTTTTCCAGAGAAGCCAGCAAAACTTGTTAAGCTAAGGTTCACAAACTCACTTTAAGCAATATTTACAATGTGTCATTGAATTACCCTGCTGTGCCCCATTTAGCTATTATGCAGAACAGGAGGGCAGTGCCAAAGAATGCTCCAACTACCACACAATTGCACTCATTTCACAAGCTAGCAAGGTTATGCTCAAAATCCTACAAGGTGGCCTACAGCAGTATGTGGACCGAGAACTCACAGAAAAACATCTACTTTTGCTTCATTGACTACGCAAAAGCCTTTGACTGTGTGGACCACAAACAAACTATGGCAACTTCTTAAAGAAATGGGAGTGCCTGGCCACCTTATCTATCTACTGAGAATTCTACATGTGGGACAGGAAGCAATTGTTAGAACTGGATATGGAAACACTGGTTCAAAATTGGGAAGGAGTACGAAAAGGCTGTATATTGTCCCCCTGCTTATTTAACTTATATGCAGGATACATCATTCGAAAGGATGGACTGGATGAATCCCAAGCCGGAATTAAGACTGCTGGAAGCAATATCAACAACCTCAGATATGCAGATGATACCACCGATGGCAGAAAGTGAGGAGGAATTAAACAACCTCTTAATGAGGCTGAAAGAGGACAGCACAAAAATAGTCTGAAGCTCAACATCAAAAAAACTAAGATCATGGCCACTGGTCCCATCACCTCCTGGGAAATAGAAGGGGAAGATATGGAGGCAGTGACAGATTTTACTTTCTTGGGCTCCATGATCACTGTAGATGGTGACAGTAGCCACGAAATTAAATGATGGCTGCTTCTTGGGAGGAAAGCAATGGCAAACATTGACAACATCTTAAAAAGCAGAGATATCACCTTGCCAACAAAGGTTCGCATAGTCAAAGCTATGGTTATTCCAGTAGCGAAGTATGGAAGTGAGGGCTGGATCATAAAGAATGCCGACTGCTGAAGAATTGATGCTTTTGAATTGTGGTCGAGGAGGGGACTCTTGAGAGTCCCCTGGACTGCAAGGAGAACAAACATATCCATTTTGCAGGAAATCAACCCTGAGTGCTCACTGGAAGGACAGATCCTGAAGCTGAGGCACCAATACTTTGGCCATCTCCTGAGAAGACTCCCTGGAAAAGACCCTGATGTTGGGAAAGTGTGATGGCAAGAGGAGAAGGGGACAACAGAGGATGAGATGGTTGGGCAGTGTCATCGAAACTACCAACATGAATTTGACCAAACTCCGGGAGGCAGTGGAAAACAGGAGGGTCTGGCGTGCTCTGGTCCATGGGGTCATGAAGAGTCGGACATGACTGAATGACTAAACAACAACAACAGTAACAACAACAGGATACAGAACAGTTTCCTCTCTTAGAAACTTCCAGATACAATCAAAAAAATAGTTGGCAGGATCAGTGTGTGTGCATGTGTGTGTGTGCACATGCGCACGCACACACACACCGTCCACTGTCATGAAGTGAATTGTCACATCTTCCTAGACTTCTGATCCAGTACTAAAGACTTGTTATCAAACCAAACAACCAAAAATCTCATGAAATTTAAAGAATTCATCTCCTTGCATCTCATCACACTGTCATGCTTACAAAGATTTGAAACTAATTTGTTGCATATGGGAATGTGTCTTCTTGTTGCATATCAAAGGCATGTAATGATGAAATGGATAATATTAATATCAGTACAGATATGGTACCTTTCAGTGAATCCTGTTTAGATTTCAAATGTAAGACAGTGAAATGAAAATAAATCAAAGAAAGGACATTGATGCATAAACCAGCCTTTCGTCGTCGTTTAGTCGTTTAGTCGTGTCCGACTCTTCGTGACCCCATGGACCAGAGCACGCCAGGCCCTCCTATCTTCTACTGCCTCCCGGAGTTGGGTCAAATTCATGTTGGTTGCTTCGCAGACACTGTCCAGCCATCTCATCCTCGGTCGTCCCCTTCTCCTCTTGCCATCACACTTTCCCAACATCAGGGTCTTTTCCAGGGAGTCTT